AAATAAATGTGAGTCATAAATAAAAATATAACACTACAGTGTTTTCTTTCTTGATGAAGTAGGGAAGGTGCATTTGTCCGTCTTCAAGTCTTCAAAACGTTTTTGCTTGAGGGGCTTCAACACTTTTCTCGAGGTGTTGATGGTGGCCACCCTACGGATGGTTAGGGAAGTAATAGTCATTATTATAGATTTAAAACTTTGGGTGTAGCACCTTCTCTAAACATTGGATTTCAAAGAAAATAGTCAGTGGGCATATTATGGAATTCGGCAGATTGGACACAACTAGTGCACTGTTGGGTGTTAGGCCGACCGACGAGCAACTAGCACTACAAAAGTGAGTTTGGCAAAGGCGGCCATATCTAAAAATCGAGGGGGTGGGCATCCAAATTTATTTGTAGATTTACGGATCTTCTCAGAGATCGTTGGTGATGATGACTAAATGGAGTGGATATGTTGTTCGTAAGTTCCCCATGCGTGCTTTTTTGCTATAAGTGTCTCCTTGAAGTATTTTTTTTCTCTCTATTTATTTTGTGTTGCTCGTCTTTTGGCTAACAGTACGTTTCACACTCACTGCATCTTAAAGAATGTTGAATCTAAATCTTTTCGGTAGACCACGACCAAAGAATAGAAAGTTGAACTGAGGGAAAGAGATTGAGAGGAAGAGAAAAGAAAGAGGACATGAGAGTAAAGGCATTTCAGTCTTAAATTTATATTTAGCCCTACATTGCAGAGGAGAGTAAAGGCATTTCAGTCTCTTTATCCGGGACTTTCATATGTGCTTTGAGATCTACAAAGATCATTTTTTAGTATTAATAAATTTCAACTCTTAATGAAGCATCTTTATGTACAAAAATTTCAATCCAAGTAAATGTTTACAAGTCACGTGTAAATTCGCCTATTTATTCCTTTCTTTATTGTATGAAAGAGAATTTGTATGTTTGACTAAAATTTCCTGTATATCTAAACAACCAGATCGAACTAGACTTTAATTAAATACAAATAAAAAATAATTTTTAGTTGATAAGTTCTTAAATTACTAATTAATATTTTTATTCTTTAAATGATTAAAAATAATTATTATTATTTATCCTAATTAAAGTGTCCAAAAAACTCTATCATCTGCTAATTAAAGTAATATCTTATCCCAGAAATTTGTTGCCGACTTATTTACCTACTAAAAAAATAAGTTTATTTTAAATAATAATAACATATTCTTTCCAAATATTAGTTAGTTCATAATTAATAATAAATTTGATATTTGATCAATGATTAGTTGATTAATTATCATAATAACACCTACATGTAACTATCCAAATTTAATATCATAATTAATTAGCTTGATTGTTAATCTTTCTCCAATCCATCAGAAAAAATTATTCCCTAATTGGCATTAATGTTATATTTGTAATTCACCGTTCAGAAAAAAAATGTGCCTGTACTCATGGTATTTTATTAAATAGTTAAAAAAAAGAAAAAAAAATTCATTGCACATAATTTGCACACCTATTTATTTTCTCATAAGGTGAATTTCCAGTTATATAAACAATTTTTATTTCTTCTTTTTGAGCATACTTTTATGTAGGGCTGTAAACGAGCCAAGTTTGAGCGAGCTTCGGCTAGGCTCGTGTTCGGCTCGTTCGAAATCGGCTCGTGAACAATGTGTTTGTGTTCGGCTCGATTTAAATATTTGTGTTCGTGTTTGGCTCGAAATTGGGTGGGATTCGAACCTGGATCAAATATATATAAAAGAAGACACTAACCATATTATCACATGAGGTGTTATGATTTAAACTTAGACATAAATATAAATAATATATTATTATATAAATAATATATGTAATATATTGTTATATAAAAAGTTTTATAATTTTTCTTTTCGAGCCGAACACGAGCGAACAAACTATTGATCGTGTTCGGATCGTTAGGTTTTAATAAACGAGCCGAACACGAGCTGCTTAACGAGCCGAACACGAGCTGCTTAACGAGCTGAACACGAGCTGTTCACGAACAACGTGCCAAACACGAGCTGCTCACGAATAACGAGCCAAATTGACGGTCCTACTTTTATGCACTACAAATTTATAAATGTGACTACATAGGAAGATGTTATAAAATACGTACCAAAAAGCCTTTAGACAAATTTGTCGATATGTCCGAGTGGTTAAGGAGACAGACTCGAAATCTGTTGGGCTCTGCCTGCGCAGGTTCGAATCCTGCTGTCGACGATCTAAAATGTTTTTATTTAATGATGATTAGTTAAATATTACGACTAATTGTATAATTATGATATTGTTAATTAATTTAGTAAGATGTTAATTATTTGAAAATTGGAAGTGGATGTAAATTTTAATTAATTTTCAATGTCTAATCGTATACTACGCTTTTCGATATTTATCATTTATTTTTTATTGTCAGAAAATAAAAATTATTATAAACTAATGGAGGAAGTGCAGCCAACAAGGAGCAGTTTAAAGCTAACCATGGCTGGAATAATCTCCACCCTTTTTATTTAACTGGCTCGTACAAGATAATTCTTATATATATATATATATATATATATTTCTTGTTGATACGCCACCAACACATTTATCCCGAATCTCTAGGTATGACATGAATCTCGAGGCATGACACGAATATTAGGATAATTTTTTGAGCAAGAAATATTCAAACTTCAATTAAAGGTCAACCAGTTGGAATTCCGATTTCAGTCAATTGACTGACTCAATGAGACAGACCCAATAATATTAAAATTAGTCCAATCTGAGTCAAATCAAGTTGCATCGAGTCATTAAATCATTCTTGAATGTTTTTTAGAAATATTTAGAAAGTCAAACAAATGGTGAATCAAGCAAGTCTATATAGTCAAATCGAGCTTCCAAAGAAGATGAATCAAGCGAGCCAAACATTGCTAAATTCTGACATCGTTAAAGCACTCAAATGCTATCTGATCGAAGGAAGCTCTCCAGACCATCCGACCAAAGTAGTTTATATTCTTGCATTAATTACACCCAGAAAACTATAAATAGAGTTTCACCCCTCCCATGAGGGAAAGGAGAGCTTGAGGCTTGATAAATAACTTGAAGCTTTCAGAAGGAGCTGAAGTTTAACACTGCTCCTGCCACTGTCTTTGACAACCGTTGACCGCCATCGATCACCGCCGACCACTGCTGACCGTCGTGGATTACCGCTAACCATCGTTGGTCACCATCAAGCACGGTCGACCGCCGTCAACCACTGTCAACTGTCTTTAACCATCATCGACCGCCCTCGATCACCGTCGACGACCACCTGTTAGCATCCATCGATCGTCATCAGTCGCTGCCCACTTCTTACAATAAGTTCATTCGCACGTCGACGTTTTAATTGAGAAGCTTTGTAACATTTTTCGAATGTGGGATAAATTGTCTTTGTGATCATCAACTTATAGTAAATTTTTACAGTTAGGTAAGACCCCATTATTTTTTTTCTTTTTAATGGTTTTCCACATAAAAACTTCTGGGGTCACTATTAATTGTTTTCTTTTATCTGAGTGTATGTTGAATTCTCATTCACCGCTAAAACGATAATCTATTACTTTACTATCATAAATTTTCTACAATTATTTTTTACTAATAAGCATTTACATACATGCCACCCAATTCTTGTGTAATTAAAACGTATGTAACACTTCAAAACTTTTTTTGTACCACGATTCACATTAGAAAAACATTAATTTTAAAGGTGAAATAAACATTTTTATACCTATAAGGTGGAATATGTGTAAAATTTTAAGTTTAGGATATATGTAAATACGTAATAATTGAATGAAACGTTTGTAAATTTTCCTTTTTTTTTCTCTCTTGATGGTAAAAAATCGAGGTTTTTACGTGTACAGCACTTTAATGGTTACCCGCACAACGAGGTCACCTATAGAGCATTAAAAACGAGGGCACGGCCTTTCTTTTCTCCAATTCGCTCGCGTTCACCCGTCGATTGCGCGGGGAGTCTCCGCACAGTGATACTATTTCATTCACGCCATAGAATCGCTCTGGACACACCTAGCGAACCTGTACTCCATGAAACCGCAGACTACATTGAGGTAAAGCATCCTGTGTCCAATCATGCTCCCGCCTTCTCAATCTGCCCCAGGCAAGTCTCCTTGCACCGCTTTACTTATTCCTTACTTTCAGATAATCGGCTCCTGCCGACTTACCTTTCTGGATCGATCCTAAAAGACCATGAAACTCTCCCATAAAAGGGTTTTTACCGCGTTAATTTTTTCTCTGCACCTACATTACACACTCGGCGACATTCCTACAAAACGCCCTCAGTGACATTCCTACATTACGCACCTTTCTGGATTCGCTCCCGACGCTAACACACCCTCAAGGTTTCCTGATTGGCATTGATCGCTATGTGCAAGTTTGCTGCCAAGCCCAAGCTGCAGATGCATTTTATTTCCTAATTTTTTATATTTGGAAAAACGGATTTTCATGTACAATTCATGATTTTGAACCAAATTTCTTTGTCTTCACCTTTTTACATAATTTGCCTCTCGTACATCGTGTTCTTGCTAGAATTTGAAGAGCTTTGCATATGATTATGTAGTTTTTAGTTAAAGCGTAATAGATGACTAAGTGAATGCTCGAATCGCAGTATCCTTCGTGCTGTTTATTGTCTTAGCTATCATGCAATTAACAAGAATAATTGCAGTTGTTGAAATTTGTTCACAGACACTGGCGTAACTCGAGTCAGGGGCACTGCGAGTTCAAACTTGAACTCTCCTCTTTCCATCACTACCACTTATAAATTCAAAGCATGGGGCATAATGGCTGGATGCTTTGATAGTCAACTATATTATATGGAGTTATATTGGAATTCTAATTACAATTTTACTATCATAAATTTTTGCAAGATGTTCGTGAGAATCTATTTGGACAATTTAATAGCCACTTTCTTGCACTTAAAATTCTTCCTCGAAGGAGGTGTAAATTGGGAAGATATTAAGAGATTTTTAAGTGTTGTTTGATATAATTCAAATTATATATATGTTCAAAAAAGTGATTAACAATGTATATATAATACTTGATACATTGTTGTTGTCAAATCTAATACACTTTTTCTTCCCTTTTTTTTTTTTTGTCAAATTTTCATGTGGGAAACTTACATAGCAAGCACATAATTTTTATTTATTAGCACTAATATGCTCTTTTTCTTATATATATGCAGATTGGAGAGAGAATACTTGATAACTATTGCAGGTCTCATATTTTTTGGGTATGACTTTAATGGAAGATAAGAACATATATATGCTCAACAAGTGGAAATCATAGAGCATATTTTCCTTGTAACTTTGTTATGGTAATTTGGAACCGTATTCTAAGTTTATTTAACAGGAGTTTGGAGAGGAGGTTGGTGAATACTATTGATGGTTACATTCAGGTTGGAACAGTTTTGGTGGTCGGTTTTTTTGTTAATATTTCTATTATTGTGTTCTTGTTTATACGTATGGCTAGAAATGAGGTTAAATACATTGAGAAGGGTGTTGATATCTCTTATACTTTCAAATTGATTATTAACTTTATCTTTAAAATTCTTAAATTTGGGAAATTTAAGAAACCAGTTAATAAATCAATTTTGAAGTTATTTATTAAGTTGGAACTTCCTATGCCTGTTAAGTTGAAGACTCATGCTAGTTTGGTTTATCGGAGAAGGCCGGAGTTGCATATTATTAAGATTAATGTTGATGGCTGTTAAAAAGCTAAAAAGGCTGGCATTGGAGGGGTTTGTATAGATAATGCTGGTAATTGTGTGGCTTGGTTTGCTGCTCCTTTGATTCATATATCTCTTTCAATCACAGAAGAAGAAGTTATTATTAAAGCTTTGGTTTTGGCTAAGAATTGCGATTGGAAACGTATTTATGAGGTAATTGATTCTATGTTAATGTTAAAATTTTGTGCTTTAAAGGAGGTTTACCTGCGGAATATTATTGTGCATATGAAGAAGAATTTTGCTTTAAATTCTTTTTTACTCATGACTTGGTCTCATGTTCATAGAGAAGGCAATAAACAGGCTAAATAGGCTGCTAGATGGGGCAGTTCTAATCAGGTTGTCGTTGTGTCTAATAAACTTTTGTTTCTTATTCAAGGTGATAGATTAAATTTGCCTTTTAATAAAGTTATTCATTTTTTTTTTTTTTGTGATTGTTGTGTGAGTTTTATTTCAGTGGCAGTTCCTAGGTTTTTACTTGTGTGTATTGTACTTTGGGTGTAGTGCAACTACCAGTCGGCCTTTTATATAATTTTTTGATATTAATAAAATTCATTATGGGGTTCTGTAAAAATAAAATATGTTTATCATGTTTAAATATGGTGGATATTAGGCCCAAATAAAAAATCAAGCGAGAAAGAGACATGATAGTAGGAAACAAAGAACTGTTAAAGTTAAAAACACACGCTGACTTTACATGTATTGAAGAAAGAGATTGAGTCTATTTATCTTTGTCTTAGAGAACATAAATTCAAGCTACATTATCACCTATATGACACATCACCTAAAGAGATGGGTTCATTCAATCTATGAATGAAAAAGGTGATAATTGTTACTGTTATTATAACTTCTTATATTATCCTTATTATCATATTGTAGTGAGACATTGAATATGCACGGTTCTGATGTTAAAAGTTAAATTTCAATGGTTTATATTCATCCTTCTATGGATCTACATGCTTTTAAGAAGATATTTCAAAACCATTGAAGAGAAAGGTAGTGACTACTAAATATTTTCTTTCAACCAAACCTACAATAGCTGATGTCTCTTACATTCCAAAAGTTGAAAGAAGTTAAGACGCCCTTCCAAATGTTCCTCATCTTTCTATGGATAGCTATAGGAATCCAAATGTGTTTCTCACCATTTTAAGTTGATTAAAGCTTGAACTGGATCTTTATGCATCCATATTAGTTTAATATAATTTTCTCAATAATCAATAGCACCTATTATTGTTTTGCTTCGGAAGTCAAAAAGTCTATGGCAATAATTAGATTTAATTTCCTTATTTCAATTCAATTTTCCTTATATAACATTGTTAAAATAGTTCATAACGTGTTTTACAAAAAGCTGAAGGATTTTTGTCTATTGATCAACAAATTGGATGCCGAGACTTGAGCATGATTTGATTCAGCTCCTGAGATCAAAGAGATTTATTGGTCTGATTAATTTTTGTATCACAACAACAACCATTTTCTTAAATACAAGCTTATGACAGTAATATTTTTTATGGTGGTTGCCTGCCGGATGGCTATTAATCCTATAAACTTAGGTACCAAAAATCTAGCGCCACCAGGAGGTGACTAATTTTCATGTATTGAGATGGGCTTGTTCTTTTAAAAAGGAACATGTCTTATTTTTATATATTGCAAGTTTGTGATCTCTTTCTTGAAAATTTGAGAAGTGCAAATCGAGTTTCAACCTCAGGATTCATGATTTTAGTTGGTGTAAATTGAATTTGTCTATTATAGACTCCTTGATGTTGAGAGGGTGAGGTTGTCTTCTCTTTTATCCATTTTTTTAAATATGACAACTACATGATATCTTGGTGTGGGGTGCAAATACAATTTGGCACTATTTACAACACTTGATATTACATTTAAGTTGATTAAGGAATTACATGAGTAGGATTTCACTACTTTATTTGCATTTGAATGGCCTTTTTAGGGATGTATTCCTGCTTCTGTTCTTGGTGTGGGGTGCAAATACAATTTGGCTCAATTTACACCACTTGATATTACATTTAAGTTGATAAAGGAATTACATGAGATTTCACTACTTTATTTGCATTTGAATGGCCTTTTTAGGGATGTATTCCTGCTTCTGTTACCTGTTGAGACTTTAAGCTCTAGTTCTCTTGTATGTTGCTTTGATTCATTATGTATGTTTTTATTATTAATTGTTTATGTGAGAAGGAAACATATTTTTCAATGCAAATATTAATTACCAACAACTAGTACATGATTTACTGATTCCTGGTCAAAACTTATTAGAAGATTGAAAAAATGGTGGTTTTGGTTGTAATTTGTAATAGAAAGAGTTCAAGAAATACTAGTTTAAGAATTATTGTTCATTTCTTCTTAGAAAAATTTACATATATACATGATTTACTGATTCCTGGTCAAAACTTATAAGAAGATTGAAAGAATGTTGGTTTTGGTTGTAATTTGTAACAGAAAAGTTCAAGAAATATTACTTTAAGAATTTTTGTTCATTTCTTCTTAGAAAAATTTACATATATACCACACAAATCTCTGTATATACATTACTAACACCTAAAGTTTGTTATTTGCATTTATTTTATTTTGGTGTCGCGGACCTATGCATAAAATGGTGTATTTCAGATTTAATAAGTTAGTAATAATTAATGATTTGTGGTATGTTCTTTTCATAAAGGGTTGTAAATAGTTTCCAACTTTAAGAGACTTGAATTGAGGCATTTACAAACATACCACCCAATTGGGGCATTTACAAACAAACTGCCCAAGTCTAGCTATATATCACTTTTATTAAGTAAGCAATGGTTAAACATTCTGAGGTGTTTTAAGTTTTTGCACTCATAAATGGCTTAAACTTAAGTGTTCAAATAGCAGGCATTTACAAACAAACTGCCCAAGTTTAGCTATATATCACTTTTATTAAGTAAGCAATGGTTAAACATTCTGAGGTGTTTTAAGTTTTTGCACTCATAAATGGCTTAAACTTAAGTGTTCAAATAGCATTGATTACTTTTCTTTTATCTTGTCTGCATCAAACCAAAATGTAACAAATTGGTTAACGGAACAAGATCATTAGTATCAGTAGTAGAACCATCAACAATAACATTAACAAAGGTTGCATTAAAGGAGTTCAATTTGTTTGTCATATGAAATAGCATTGATTACTTTTCTTTCATCTTGTCTGCATCAAACCAAAATGTAACAAATTTGTTAACGGAACAAGATCATTAGTGACAGTGGTAGAACCATCAACAATAACATTAACATAGGTTGCATTAAAGGAGTTCAATTTGTTTGTCATATAGACAACAAAAAGATACATCCCTAAACAAAAACAAAACTTATATTTCTGATGCACTTTGGATTACATCATTCATACTTCTTAATACATCAAACTCATCTAAATAAAAATAACACAAATAATAACAAATACATAGCAATGACAAAAAAAAAGTAGTGTAATTATAATTTTCATAAGGAAAATAAAATCCTCATTTTTTACTCTTCATCTCCTCCGTTGAGTCTCTTTCAAAATCTTCTCGATCAAATGATTCATCATCCATTTTATCAACCCATTTAAAATATTTACAGTCATGCGCTGAACGATTTATTGGACGTTCATAAAATCTTGTTCCACAATTCTCACTTTTATAGCTGATGAACATCACACATTGTAAATTAGTCAGAATAATTTTTACAAAGTCGGACGACTTTCAAGCTTGAATATTAAATTCGCCAATAAATCATAAGCAAAAACACTAAGTTTTACTAAATTCAATTCGCCATACATTGATTGGCTTCTGATTGACTAATGGTGACAAAGGGGTAAGTTTAAGGTACAGCAGTTAGCATAAATACATTAGAGAAAAAAATAGTATAAGCATTGCTGTGGCAAATACAGATAAAAAAAAATATTGGGAAAAACATCTCCTTTTAAAGTCAAGTGCAAAATGATTCCACTTAATCACGGCTGAATGCCCTCATGAGGATGATTATTCTTAGCATTCTGAATTACACTAAGAAGAACACATCAAAAGCAATTCTACATAAACATGTACAAGAAGTTCAGAAAGACACCGCAAATTTCAGTAAGAGTGCATCAAATTTACCAAAACAAAATGCGCTTGCAAATGCAACTTACATCTCATTTTCGCACCCAAAGGAAAGTTTCATGATAATGCAATGCAAACTCAGGAAAATTTAAATTGTTTAAAATAAAGGAAAACAAACATGTTTCAACTCATACTTGCACTTCATTGATCAGGAAATTTGAACTCCTCGGCGGCTAGTTTCAGCATGACAGTGAATTTTGACACAAGTTTTTTGGGTGCTTTGTAGGTGAATAACAAAAATTGGGTGCTGTTAACAAATATTAAAATTTAAAGGATTGTGTAGGTAAAAACCCCCAAAAAATATAATGCATTTTAGTATTTGATGTATTGTCTAATATCTAAAATGATAAAGTAAAAACATGAAACTTATAAAAAAAAACATAAATTATTATTCATTCGCAATATATTAACCATTAAAATATCTTAGATTCTAAATATAATTTTTTTTTTTACTAACTTTATAGTTTATTATAGTTTTCATATATTCTTTGAGATTATTTTGTATTGAAATTTTTTATAGCTTCTTTTAGTATAAAGATTGGGCTTGCTGTTGGCTCTCTATTTCCTCTCCTTATCTCAAAATATGGACACGGTTAGTTTTGACGATGGATGATTTGTTGTTTTTGCTACAATTGCTTTAGCACATGATTTTTTTCATTATGCAACTAATTAAAGGATTGGAGATGTTCG